GGGAAAGAGCTTAGAATTTATCCTGATGGTGGCGGGAAGCCTTTGTTGAATTTTCAGAGGGGACTGAGGTTATTAGAGTTGCATTTTTATGAAGTCCTTTAGGAAGTTATTTTGTGGGCCAAACAGTGGCTGGGGTTCCCTCTAGAGGCTGTGGCCTGAGCACCTCATTTTTCTCAGCAGTGAAGCTGAAACTTCCGGCATCAGCTTCAACACCCCCTTCTGCTCGTATGCCTCACCCTCGCCAACCATGGGCCAAATTTGTCAGTTCAACCTCTAGGTATTTCTGCAATCCACGTGCGCCTTTCTTTCTTTTTTTCTTTTTTTTTCTCGGCCACACCATGTGGCATGTGGGATCTTATATCCCTGACCAGGGATTGAACCCACGTCCCCTACAGTGGGAGTGTGGGGTCCTAACCACTGGACCGCAGGGAAGTCCCCAGGTGTGCCTTTCGACTCTCTGCAAAGGGAAGCAATTGAAACAGAGGGAGAGTTTTGAGCAATGTGAGACCCAGTTAGAACTTTTTCTTCCATTGTGAATGATATCATGGACGGAAAAATGCCTAAAACGTAAAGGCTAGTAGCATGAATACTTATAAAGACAATACCCATGTAACCATCACCTGGGTGAAGAAACAGAATATTGCCAGGACCCCAGAAGCAACCACTGCCCCTGCTCTGTGTCCCTCCTCCCTTGACTTTTATGGGAATCTCTCTGATTTTTCTTTGTAGTTTTACCATCTTGCCTCCTACGCATGCAGACTGCTCTAGGTTGCTATGTGGCTGCAGAAAGAATGGAACAGAAAAGAAGGACCTCTGCAACCCCCCTCCACCTTATCCCCTGTCCTCAGAGAGAGATGGAGCTGGGCCCACGTGGGGGAGGTTCTGAGCACTCAGGGAGGGGTCCTGGAGGGGTGATTGGGCTGCTCCAGTCTGGGTTTGTGACCCAGACCAGTTAGCCCAGGCTTGGCCCTGCTGTATGCCAATGGTTCCTCATGGGAGTCAAAACTTTTAGGGATGCTGGGTTTTGGGGTCCCACTCACTTTTCAGGGAAGCTTCTCAATTTCATAGAGAGGGAGGCAGGAGAGGTCGATTTTCCCATTTCAGTTGGGAAAATAGAGATAGGGTGGGAGATACCCAAAGCCACAAGGTCAGGAAATAAGAGGTGGGATCAGCCCTTTGAACGCAGCTCTCTTGGGCTCCTAGTGCCGTGTTCTCGTCTCTCCCTGTGGCAGGGTCCTGTGTCCCTGTGGCAGGGTCCTGTTTCCCTGCGCCCTGTAGCATAGCCTCTCAAGGCCTGGGGGAGACCAGGCATGAGAACTTGAATTGGCCACAAGGTGGCATCAAACACCACGTCTTCACATCATTTTTCACTTTTAAACCCCAAATGCCCAGAATAAGCTCTGCCCGGGTGCCAGGGCACAGGGATGAGACCCTGCAAAGGGGACAGGAGAGCTCACTGTCCTCAGCCAGACCTTGTAGGGGAGACAGGAGCAGGGCTGGTGGGGGTTCCTCAACTTTCTCCAAACCTGCTCCCCTTCTCTTACTCCGTCTTAGTGCTCTCCCAAGCCAGAAACCTGCGGGCAGATCTTGGGGAGGAGATAGCGGGACATAGGAAAGAGGGAAGCGGGACTGCACCCTGGCCTGGGCTCCAAAGGGACAAAGAGTCTGAGACCAGGACCAACGCCCCAGGACCAGGCAGGGCAAAGGGGGCTTGCAGTGCCCCCTCCTTTCCTCCTTCAGTGGCCTGAGGCCTCTCTGCTGCTGGTCACTCCTGATCCCCTGTCTTTTTTTTTTTTTTTAAATATTTATTTATTTGGCTGCACTCGGATCTTTGTTGCCGCGTGTGGGATGTTCTCTGCGGTGTGCGTGACCTAGTTCCCAGACCAGGGATCGAACCCGGGCCCCCTGCATTGGGAGCGTGGAGTCTTAACCACTGGACCACCAGGGAAGTCCCCTCCTGTCTTCTTTAAGAAAGCTCCAGCTGTCTTCCCTCCTTCTTAGGGTGGGATGGAACAGAAGCTGAGGCAGTAACAGTGGATGTCAGGCAGGGTCCCTGCGTCACTGCTAGAAGCAGAGGATGGGACAGCGGCCAGGCTGTCGGCCAGGCTGTCGGGTGTGGTTCCACCTTATTCCTCTCATTCATACCCAACCCACCCCCACCCCCCGCCCTTCCCCTGCTCAGCCACCTAAGTACCTAAGTGCCTTCCTCTAGGCAGATTATCTCAGCTGGGCTGGACATCACCCTGCACCTGGAGCCATGGATGCCGCTCTGCTTCTCAACGTGGAAGGGATCAAGAAAACCATTCTGCATGGGGGCACGGGGGAGCTCCCGAACTTCATCACGGGAGCCCGAGTGAGTGGGGCCCGCCCCCCAGACCAGTTAAAAGCCCCCATGGCAGCCTTCTGCATCCCAGCTTGGCCACAGGGCACTGCAAACAGCCCTCGTCAGCTTTGCCAACAAACGGCCAGGACGTCCTTGCTGGAATTATCAACTGCCTCTCCCTTTGCCTCTGCCCCAGGCATCTGGGTAGCTCTGAAGTGGTGCCCATTCATGGGGGG